AACCTTGTCAAGCTCTCTTGTGGATGACAGAGGTAATAACAAGAAATGGTTTTGACTTGCTTTTTATTCCTATTTAACTTCAGGGGAAATGCAAATACTGCTGAATTTTGAATTGTCAAACTTTTTTTTTTATTTTTTTCCTTGCCTTAATTTCAGGTATTGGGAACCATTGTTATTACCTGTTGTTCCTGACTTTCCTAACAATGACAGGTGTCTGGCTACTCTATGGAACTCTTCTGTGTATGTATCCATGAATTTATTTTACTTGACTTTTCAAGTACATGTGTGTCTGGTCTTTATTTTTCAGCATTTTGTTTCCAGCAAGTGTAACTATACCTGCACAAGTGATGCCATATTTCAGCAGTGCCATTATTGTGTAAATAAGTGACAATACATCATGTCTGAGTCTTTGCTCAAATATCATAGTTCTTGCTCAACACAAACATAATAAGATACAACTCTAGTGGGATGTCCATTGGAAAATGAAATAGCAGGAAAAATTTTTGTTAGAGGTGAAATAGAGAAGCCATGTGGAGGAAGGTTACAGGTTCTAAGCTGGATGCCCTTTACTGTAATAGAAAATAAGTTTGTAAATACATTATTACAAAAGCTTTATTGATTTTGTTATTTGGAAATATCTGTATTGAATACCTGGAAGCATTTCTTTTTGGTTTTAATGTAGTCATAACTTTGAAGAGAAGAGAACTGTATATCTCATTAACAGATCTGAACTGTTACTTTTAAAAATTAGGAAATTTCGTAGAGGGGAGAGGAGAAACATTAAAATGTAATTCCTGAGGGTGAATTACCACAGCACTAACCTTTTAAATAAAAAAGCAGAGGGAGTTAATTTTATTTCATATTGCTTCACATTATGTTGATATGAGGCAATATTCAACATAGAGTGCAATGAACCAGCCATGGCAGTGGAGGATACAGGTCATTTGTGTGAACATGAGTTAGTGTTTCCTGTGTTTGGCTGGGGATCTTATGTATGAAAAAAGCGTGTTATTTTCTCCATTTCCTGTATGTGAAGGAATGTGGGAAGAAAACCTCTTTATTGCTCTACTGATACAGAGAAGAAAAAAAAAGTTACTTTCCTTGTAGTTTGGGGGTTTTTCTAATACATTAAATACGTATGTGTTAGACTTAATTAGCTTGTAAGAAATTTGCAGGAATTGGACATCCCAGTTTACGTCTGTTTGATAGTGGTAGAATACTGCTTTCTTGGAATTGTCACCATCAAGTCTCCTTTTGTTGATGATGGTGTTTAAGAGAAATGATAAATTCTTGTCCTAAAAGTTACAAATAAGCACGAAGCAAAATTCCAGAAGTCTTGACAATGGGAGATTATGACACTTCAATATAATGTAAAAAGACCTTAGGCAGTGCCTTGAATGTTCTTTCTGTGGATTATGAACTCAGAATGTAAGGATTATGCAGCCAGAATAACAAGCAGTCATGTATCTATGTGGGTGCTTTTAAGTGGGAATGGGATATATTAAACACGGTATTTCTAGAGCCCGTTTCTATGTAATATTCATTTTGTGCAAATAATCCTTGTTCAGTTCTTAAGGGCTTAAAAACATAATTAACTGGTTGTATGTCTTCTCAGATTGGTCCAACCATTGTCCAACAAGTTACCACCAGGATGGAGCATGGACATACTTCACACAGGTCATGTACTGCTCTCCCTGGGTTTCCTACATCTCTGCAGTTGCCTGTTTCCACACTGTTTGGGCCTCCTTGTGGCTCACTGTTCAGCTTTATCAGGTACTATTTTCCCTCAGTTTATGCTTAGAACTTTTCCCCAGATGATTTGCTCCCATGAAAACCTTGTGTCTGCTTTCCTTGACTGGCTTCTGTCACAGCAAGGAGCTTCTCTTAAATCTCAGGGCAGTACTTAAATGCACCCTGTTAAAAGCAGGATCACAGTCTGCAGATCATTCCTACAGCTGAGTTCTGGGTTTACTACTCATCAAAAATTCCAAATCTATAAAAAGTTTTTAAAGAAAACAAATGTATTTGACAAATAGAACCGGTATTAGTGCCCCAAAAATGACACAAAAGTTCAATAGCACAATTAGTCCTGAGTTTAAAATTCAGTGGCAGAGCTCAACAGTGTGTCATTAGACACATTGCAACAATAAAAGTACATAACCTAGATTTTATCTTGTCAAATTTCTTGTTTATGTTTTTCTCAGAGAGAGCTTGGCTATGCAAAGAAAGAAAAGCTGTCCTAAAACATCTGGGAAACAGCTCGTTTAGCAGCTTTTAGGAAAGATGTCACTGAAATATGTGTTAAGCACACTGAGCTAAAGACTTGTCTTACGTCTTGTTTAATAAAAAAAAAACCAACTCCACAATTGAAATGTGTACTGCTAGATTCCTGCAGTATCCAAGTCACTGAGATATTGTGCTAGGGGAAAAAACCCAGGATCTAGGAAGGATGTTTACAGTTAACTACTGTGTTTCCTGCACAGTCATTTCTAAATGTACTGCTTTGTGATATTTAGTGTGTCATTCGGTGAAGGACCCTTGCAGCCATTTATGAGGGTTTATAAGATTTGTGTTGATTAAAAAATTTAAAAATGGAATAGGTAAGGAAAAATGCAGAAAAGAAATCAAAGTTCATTGTTGAAACTCAGTGAAAGAAAACACAGAGTCAAGAAAAGGGAAGAGTTATTGTTGAATCTCTAATATGTACTTCTTTTTTGCTCAAGTATTTTGGTCTTTTTTCAGGGGATCTTTTTCTACCGTTTTGTGTGGTAGAATATAGACAAAATCTGAGGAGATTGGTGCCTAACTGTGATGGATCTTAGACTTCTGCAGACATGTGTGGAAGTGCAGTCTTTATAGACAGCCCAATTAAGCTTGCCTTGTCAGTGGAAGCATTCATGTTACAGCTTGCTGGGCTCTGTTTTAGCCTAAGTGACATTTAAAAACATACTTCTCAGTCATCAGTTATAGCAGTAGTTACTTATTAGTTAGATATGGCCAACCTCCTTTCTCATTAGTATCTTTTTGCATCACCAGAATTTTGATTTGTGGTGTTCATGTTGTAACCATTACTTACATTTTCCTTTCACTAAGATTGCATTCTTGGGGCTGACCTCTCATGAAAGAATTAATCTCCTGATACAGAGAAAATCTTCTAAGCATCCTGTTTCACTCAGGAGAACTCCATACAAGTGGGTATTGATTAACAGAGTATTTTAAGTGATTTGCTTCACTGCTTTATAAATGCAAAAATATGATGTGCTGGTCATGCCTGTTAAGAGTTGTGCTAAGAGGAGGAAGTGGACTTTGTTTTCCTTATTGAGAACTTCCTTTTCTCTAGGAAATAAACAACCAGCACAAGACCTGTGGGTTTTTTTGTGCATGACTGTGTGCACAGGAAAAAGATGTGCCAAAATCAGTCCATAGCACTAATCAGTAGACACTATTTTGGAGTGAGGGAGAGCTGTCCTTTAATTTGTTCATCAGTCTCTCTGTCTGTTGTGTAGGATCAGAAAGAGAACTAAGACATGAACTGGCCCCTTTACAACTTCTCTTGTAGTATTTAGAGAAATTGGTACCAAGGTTTCCCTGTTTCTTTGTTTCCTTATGTGTTAACAGATGGGATCTTACTAAGGACTAACTTTTAAATAGTTGAGTTCAACTTCATCTACTCTCATTTGTTAACGTAAAACAGGTTGTAAAAGTTCAGCAAAGGAATAATGCTCAATAGAGAACTGTTTAATTAAAAAAACCCAACTCCACAATTTTAAAACTGACAAGTTTATATCTGAAGTACTGTCTTGTGGTGAATGTGTAGTTTTGATGCTTGCAGTCTTCTTTTTTAGGTTTATTAATGCATATTTTTCTCCTTTTCAGTCTTGGATGCTTCCAGAATCTTGCAGACTTTTTTCAGTGCAGTTGCTTTGGTGTGTTCAAACCCAACATAATTGACTGGACCAAGCAATACAATGTTTTTCATCTGGCAAAGGAGAAAAATGTTCATTCTGTGTGAAGTTTCGCTTAATTTCTAAAATGGTTGAGCTGAAAGCTAAATAAAACTGTATATTTTGTTAATTTTTCCAAATTCTTCTGAAGTTGCTTGGTTTTATTATTGTTTCAAATATTAAACTTTATCTTGCATAAGCTACAGCAGGTTTGTATATGGAACATTGTGTGTCTGTGTGTATATGTAGTTTGAGCTGAGTCTATTTAAAATTTTATGTGATGAGAGGACACTAAGAATATATTTTTTAAAAGTAAGTTTTTAGGGCAGAATTTCAAAACCACATTGGTACCCTCTGCTTTATCCTTGCAGATAATAAGACAATTACATTTGAAAATTAAAGTGAATGTTCATATTTTAAAACTTCATGTTATGGTTATATTGTAATTTTGTTTCTTATGCTGTGAAAACCTCCATTAAGTCTTTGTATTTGAAAGGTTTACATGTAATAAAATAGAGCTTTCATACTTCTAAGTGTATTTTTGCAGACTGAAATAGATTCAAGGGGCATGTGACCAGTGAGGTTTTTAAGAGCAAGTAGGCACAAAACCATAAGAGAAAACCTGACTCTGCCTTATGTTTTCCACGTATATGCCTTGTTAGTGTATGAAAATGGGTAAGTTCATGATGAAAAATAGCAATGTAAATAAAAAGAGGGAATTATTCCCAGCTGCATGCATAGATCTTTAATGGCTAATGTCGGCCAAGAAGGGGCTACAGTGTCAGTCTGGAAGGGCCACTTGGACACTGTGGTGTGAATATAAGTCAAAGTTGGTAGCAATGAAAACCAACAGGGAAAGAAATCAAGGTCAGAAAATTAAATGCCATCTAGAACTGACAACATAAGAGTCAAGTAGTGCAATGAAACACAATTCTTGTAGTAAAGAAATGGGAGATTTCATTTATCTTGAAATCTGCAACATTGTAGAATGTAAAAGCACAAGCAAATTCAAATGGAAATAATGTGAAGCAGTAAGTACTTTATTGTAGCTTGAAAACAGACAGTAACAAAACTTACAACATTGCATTCTAGGAAAGTTTTGTTTTTCTTTGATAGAAAGAATTTCAAACCCTTTTTAATTGTCTCAAAGTGAATAACCTCTACCTTGTCACAACACAAAATGCCAACACGTTCAAAACACATCTAGGAGATTGGTAGGAATAGAGTAACATGGTGGACAAAGGAAAATACAGTCTAACTCGAACACTCAGACCCTGCACTCCATAAGGTATCTCTATGGGACACTAAACTGAATCTAAAACTCCAATCTAAAATGTGCTAAAGAAGCAATAGTATTACACAAGGGTTTTTTGTCTTTGTTTACTGTAAAACAGACATGAACCTTCTTTTATCACTGTACCTTTTTAATCTAAGAATTTAAGATATAAGCTCACAAATTCTTCCTGCAAGGTAGAAAATCTTGCCCAAATGCCCTATGTTCTTAGCAATATATGATGTTTAATGTTTTACTTGACAACTATCACTTGGCGACATCAACATCAGTTTGAGACTGTTGCATCCATTTCTTCTCATTCACATTCTTTCTTTTCCACTTGAGTGAGGCCACCAAACCCAATTCCTTTGGGACCGAAATTTTTTGCATAGCAAACTGCAAAAGAAGGAGGGGAGGATAAATGTTTCTGAATTCTAAATGTTCTCAGGTAGGGGTAAATGTCTTTTGGTTTTAGTTTTTAGATCACTACCAAATTTAAGTTAATAAAAGGAAGGAAATCTGAAATAGCTTATTTCCCACAAGTGTTGGCAGGTTTTAGTAGTGAAACTGAAATCACCTATTTGAATTACACAAAAGTCACATCTGGTGATCTCAAAAAAATTAGGAAACTAACTGTAGATTTAAGATCTAAGTAATGTTTTCATTAAAGCTACTTTCCTGTCTGAAAATACTCGGTAAAACTTGGTCTGGTGAGTAATTCAGGCTGAGTAATGAGTCAGTAGTTTTCCAGGAGGTAAAAGAACTGGAGCATAGTTCTGAAACTATTGATGAGCATTTAAACCATTCCATTTGAACTGTGTATTGGTAAGTGTGTGCACTGTTTTTTATCACAGCTCTGCTAAGGAAGTAGTAATGGTCAGCATGTTTCTCCTGATGTGGTGATTTGATCACTTGTGGCTGACAAACTGTACCCAAAGTCACAGAACTTCAATATTCTTCTTTAGGGCTCTCTATAAAGTTTAGCTTGGGATATAAAACCTTGGCATATTTTTCCCCCATAAGGTGTTTCTGAGAGTCAAGTGAAGTCTGTGAACTTTCAGAATTTGAGAACATCTAGATGTATAATTTAGCATCAATGCATTATCTTCTGTGCTACCACTACAGTGGAAGTATCTTTAATTGTCAAGAATTCCAGATGACCTCTGCAGATCTGTATCTATGTGGATTTTTTATTTTAGTGAGTGAGATGGTGCAGGTACAAGAGCCTGCCCAGCAGAGATGGCCAATGTTCTGTTAAAAGATCTGAGGGTAGATCTGAGAGATATTTGTAGAAAAATTACAGCATTAAACTTTAAATGTTAATAGTATAAGCTGCAATTGCAATGTTACCACGGCTCTTTGCTTTGCTTTCAGAAAAAAAGATAAAATTAAATTTCCTGAAGTTGGTTTTCCTAGGTCTAAAGAGACTAATTTTAGATTGACTCAGTAACCCAGTTCAGCTCTCTGGAACTCTCACCTTTACAGTAGAGCTCTCCGTCTTTGTCTGTAACATTCGTGGATTCTAAACTCTTCCCACAAATAGCGCAGCGGAAACACATCTTGTGCCAAGGCTGAGGAGATGAAGACAATTCATTGTATATTACAGAAAGTGCACAGGTACAAGAAATGAAGAACTACTGCTTTTTACAGTGTGAAAAGGTTAAAATCTTTTTGTTGGTCTCGTGGCTTCCATTTTTAATCATTTCAGGTTAGTCTTATTTCAGTTACATTATTGTGCCACGTCAAGAGTTACCGAGTGACTTTGTTATTGATGCACAGTTATTAATGGAGGTCTAGTAAAAAGCAGGGAGCAGGGAGTGCCCTTATTTTGGGCACTTCTTCAGTGTGCAGAGATCATATTCTAGTGAGAGTTCCTTGAGCAGAGAGCTTTGCATGTCATTTGAGAAAGGCTTCTGTTTTTCTAGTTACAGGATCTCTTTAATGTATCTGTAATTGCCACTACAAATAAATGTTTATAAATATCCCCCAAAGGTGGAGGAAGAGCCAGGCTGTACAGTAGTCAGGGGTTGTTCTTCAGACATCAATAAGAAGGGAAAAGTTGGAGAAGGTTTACAAAAGGCACATGATTTTAGACCTGAAAGTACATCCCACTCAAGCAATTTGCTGCTTCATGTTTTCTTCATCGAGACTATGAATGAAAATTTAAATGATCAAGGACCTATTAGCTACAGTTTATCACCATTATAAAACTGTGTTTTGTTTCTAGTGCTGAAGTAACTACTTACTTTTCCTCCTCCCATGATCTTCTCTGCAGCATACACTGATTTGCCACAACGGGGACATTTATCCACATCTACCATCTTTTTGGCAAACTTTGAAGCATTAGTTGGTGTAGAAGGGCGAGCAGGCTTTGGTGACCCCCTAAAACACAAGGTTTCAGTGCTTTTTAAATGCTGCTTCAAATGTTACCTACCTTAGAAAAAGTATTTAATGGGTTTTTTGGTAAGGGATGAAAAATACTGAATTGCCATTCTCTGATGTGAAAACTGGGGATAAAAAAGGGGAAAATCAAAGTATTCTAGTGAATTCTGTGTTGTGTGATGGAAAAGCTGGTACTGTAAGCTCTGATGTTGCCTGTTCTGGGCTGAGTGCATAGGGTTGGCAGCAACCAAATGCAGAAAAGATTGCATTTAATGAAAAGTGAAAGTAAAAAACAACTTTGTTTTATGGAAAAGCAAGAGGGAAAATGCAAGCAGAAGACCACTCTCCTTTATAACTGGCTGTCTGCTGTTACTCAATGAGTAGAAAATAAAAATACGTATTTTTGCATACAGATGTTTCATTAGGCAGTGAAACATTTAGACAAGGGAATTGGGGTTTTTACCTGGCCCAGGGTCAAAAGCACGTCAGAAAAGTAGCTTTGCTTTGTGTTTCTGGACATTGTGTATTATGAGTTTATGCTTAAAACCTTTCACAGAATGATTTCTGAATTACTGGATTGTTGGACTGCAACAGGTCATTATATCTACAGGATGTGACAGTTTTTGATGCAGAACTCTGCTAATAATGGCTTCATATCACACAAGGAGCCACATTTGAATACATTGTTTAAGCTTTTATTCCCTACACGGCATATTAGTTAATTGGTTTCCTTATAGTTATACCAGAAGGAAGCATTGCTGATTTGGAAATGTGCAGCTTTGAGAGTCGTAAAAAAAAAATCCTGTAAAAATGTATTGTCAGAGCTAATTATGCGTTTTTGGAAGATGGTATCCCATTAGAATTCCTTTGTTCAAACACATTCTCAGTGTGTTTGTGAGTGTTATTAAAGCCACAGGAAGGATTTAGAAATGTTATTTCCCCCACTGAGAGGAGAGCTAGCAGTATGTGGTAGTGTGATTATTTCTCCAAGAGTAAAACCAAACTGGATTTTAGCCTCTGACAGGAAAAAAAAAAATATATATTTTCTCGTTTTCTACAGTGAATGTGACTTTACCACTGTGCTACAAATGGCAACATACAATTGCAGTGGATATTTACAGCTGTGGTGGCATATAAAGGCTACTTCTGCACCATAATTGCCTATTGAAGGAGAAAATAATTTGTAAAGAAGGCTTAAAGAGACTGAGCATCATTAAAAACTGGTAAATTACTGTGTCCCTGGAAGGAAAGGGTGTAGGAAAGTCTGATCTGCTATTTACGCTGGATGTTGTTATGGAAACAGAAGAAAATGTCTAAAATACCCTGCTAAGAGACAAGTAGGACCAGAGAAAGGTGCTGTCAGTGGGGTTTGACTCACTGTTGCAGGTTCAAGCCCAGGTGGTCACCAGTGTCAGTGCTGAGGCATCCAGCCCCCTGTCCAAAGCCAACACCTTTGGGACCGTATTTTCTCCCGTAACAGGTTTTGCAGTAGATTTCGGATTCGTGAGCTGCCACTGTGGTGCTGTCCAGAGCTTTCCTGCAGGCCACTGGATACAGGCAGAGAGAGGCATCTATCAACATTTGTGTTTTCAAAGTTGAATTCATGTGGTTCAGAGTAGTTACATTTAGTGGTTATGTTTTGTTTACCTTTAAAAATATAGGAAAAGGAGTTGGTCAGTATAAAACTTGACTGGGCTGTTATTAAAATAGGTGTGTGCACACAACATGTTCCTCTTTTGCCTCTCTGAAGTTATACTGTAGCCCCAGGGAAATCATTGGCTTGTCAAGGCAATTTGTCTAGATCTGTGATGTTAAGATGGATTCGAGATAACCATCCTAAACTCCCAAACCTTAAAAAAGGGGGGAAAGGAGATTGCAGGGGTGTTGATTCCACTGAGCATCTGGACCTTTCAAAATATTCTTTCTGAGTCTGTGGTGGCTTTCTCAGCTCAGCCCAAGCTATTTTGATGACGTTTGTTTCTAAAAGAGGCTATAATACCATGTCCAGAGTCAGGTAGGATATGTTGGTTTGGGTTTTTTTTAATATTATTTGTTTGTTCAAGCTGTGGCACCAAGGCAAAGGAAGTAAGTCTCACTTCCATTAGACTTCCTCTGGGATGACAGCAGTGTGACTAAAGCCGTTCCCAAAACAGAGACCTCTTACAAGTTGTGTTTGTTACAGAGAAATACGGCTTGGCTTAGCTCACTAGGAAAGATCTGAGAGACTTTTGGACAGAAGATGCCATAGGAATGCCCTGCTTTCACCAGGGAATACAAGTTATGTCCTCTGCAGCAGTACTTTAAGCCAAGCCTCAACTTGGACGGACTAGAAGCTACTGAGTGCTAACAGCTGCTTATTTGGGGATCTTGGTAAGCGAGTATCTATGTTTTGAGAAATACAAGGCACACCCAGAGCTAACTGGTGTTGCTGAGATGAGTTCCAAGCTTGGCTATTTTCATGGAGTGGGCATGGAAGCTCAATTACTCTCTCACAGTTCTTTGCTTATCTGAAACCTGGTCAGCATTTAGAGTTTAAATTCTGTTACTGGATCAGTGGATCCCCTTGGTGCTTATGCATAGAAATGGGACAATAATGAATGGAGAAAAAAACAGTAGCTACACTCCTCAGCTGCTTGTCAGCTGCTTGTTCCACTCTGGGAACTTGGTGTGAGAAAGCCTCCACCCCATTGAGAGAGGAAGAAACTCTCAATTCAGAGAGCCTGTAGAAAACCAGGATTTTCTAGGATGCTAAAAAATTAATATTTCGACACTTCTTTCGAAGTCAACAGTGGTTGATAGAGGCAAAAGAAAAAAAAGCTAAAGCCTTCTCTCCAGCTTCCTTTGAGCAAGTACATGTCCTGCAGAGGGCATACCAGTCATGCATGAACTGTGGATAGCTTGGAAAATCAAGTTACTTAGTTCATGTATGCACCAGAAAGGTGTGTGAAATACAGAAGTATTGAAAGTGGCTGGAAGTGCAAGCTCTAGAGGAGCCAGCTGAGGGCTTGATTAGTCCCTTGCCCGTCTGTTTATTTTAAGTATCCTCCTGTTGATCAAATTCATCCACCTCAGGTAATTTAAGCCAATACTGGAATCTCTGCGGCTTTAATTATAGAATACCTGCAATGGTTTGGGTTGGAAGGGACTTTAAAGATCATCCAGTTCCAACCCCCTGCCATGGACAGAGACACCTTCTGCTTGACCAGACTGCATAAAGTACTACTTATGCGTCCCCAGCCCCCTGCTTATCTTTGGCTTTCCTCCTCCCTGTACTGCACAGAGAGGAAAATGTTTTGCAAAGACCTTTATAGTTAATAGAGATAAAATGAAGGGCTTCTGTAAATGTGTGAATCTGATCTCCTCGTGCGACAGTCTCTTCTGCTTCGAGATGGTAATTAAGTTTGCTAAGGGAGTTAAGGGCCATGGAAACTCTAGCAGCAGATAAAGTGTTTCTATTTCTGGTACCTCAGGGATAGAGTATCAATTCACCACAACAGATGGCGCAGAAGCCCTTGAAGTGCTATTGTTGAAATAACTTTGAGACCTGTCATCTGCCAACAGATCCTGGTCACCCTCTGGCACTGAGGAGACTCAGGTTGACAGTGTGAGATCCTGCCAAATGTCCCTCACAGCTGCAGTTTGAGTAAAACCTGACAGGGAAACAACAATCTGCAGGTAAAGAGCAGCATGGGAAGTAGAGATTGTTGGAAAGAGGTTTCTCTCTCATAATGTTTGTAGGGCAAAACTATGGAGCGAAGAGAGTGTGATTTATAGTTTAGCTTGTCTGATTCTTCCTGTGTTAACAGATTGCTTTGAATTGTTTATAATTTTGCTGAAATTGAACTCTTTGGTTGAAAACTATGAATCTGTTTTGTCTGGTCAAATATTATGTAAAATATATGATATATTTGAAATATTTTTAATATTGAAATCTAGAAAAGGTCAGCTAAACAGATTAACTCTTTCCATACCTGAGGTTACATTGGGGAGGATTGGTTTCCTTCTGTCAAGAAATGAAATCCTATAATTGGTTCATAGAAAAGCCCATGAATGTGATACATGATCCTGAGGCATCCAGAGCTGCTGAATAGTGTGTGTGAATCATGGTAAAAGTAAAGCCAATTAACATACCTCTCATATGCCAGCTAGGCTTAGATGCATCTTTACTTTTTGACCTTAAATATATTTCTTATGGGAATACTTTTTTTGGTATCTGACCTATTAATAAGTTAGCTCAGACTTACAACCACAAGGGGAAGATAAAGTAAAATAAAAAATCCACAACAAAATACACAACCAACCAACCAAAAAAGCCACCAAAACAAACCAAACTGTTGTCAGAATGTAACATATATATATTGTTTATCATGAACCACTTAAAAAAAAATCACTTATACTAAGAATGAAATTTAAACTTGATAAATATTATTAACTATGTTCTGTTAGGACAGATGCTTATTTTTATTAGTTTCTCTGATATTTAGTATTAATTGTTATAAGCAGCACATGGAAGCAATAAGAAGGCACTAGTTGAGACTGAGATTTTTTCTTTTACCTTTCTGTAAGAATTGGCTGAAAGTGGTCATATAACTGAAAAGCTTTTGAAGGAATTCTTTCTTATTCTGCCTTTTAGGCATCAATTGCAGGGCACTTGGAGAAAGCCAAGTAAACTCCAGTGTGTCCTTTGAACTTGTTCTGCATTGACTGCACCATGTCAGCTAAGTGTGTTATAGCCTCATGCCTCAAATAAGAAGTCTCTTTCCATCTGGGAAAAGAGGGTGAAAAACTGGATTCAATGGCTTCAATGGAATTCATACTACAAAGGTACTAAATCTCAAGCATTGTCTGCAAAATAAACTCTTCATCTACTTTTAGTTCTTAGCAAATTGTTTGCTCTCCCTCCACAAAGGACAAACAGAGCTGAATTGATACCTTCTCTCTGATTTTTTTTTTTTTAGGTGCTAGCTCATCTGCAGAGAAAACAAGATTTCTGGAAGCCATCTGCCAAACATCACAGTGGAGTGTGGGAGGGAAAGAGCAAGTGAAAGTGAACTACATGAAATATGGGGGGGGGAAGAGACTAAGGTAAGTGCAGAGTCTTGGCTGGAGGTTTTAATGCCCCCGGGGTTGCTGTCTTCCAGCTTTTCTGTGTGAAATGGATTAATGTAAGGACTCACTGTCAAAGTAGTCATCTCCTCTAACAACCTAATAAGACATCCTTCTGTCTGATGAGTGTTTGTTTAGTTCTGCTGGACTTTTTAACTTGAAGCAAACCTGTAATATGCCAAATTGTGGGACAGAGGGGAAGGGTATCTTGGAGGTGGGCCATGATACCATGATCCTGCAGCACTTGAGTGTCCCTAACAAAAACCATCTAATGCTTGGAAAGAGAAAAGCCAGGAGCCCAAGATGCAGATTGCTTGGGGTAAAGGGCTAGAAAACTGCCTGCAAAGTAATACAAAAGTAAATGTACTAGAATTGATGCAACATTTATACAGAACTATGGGGATGTTGTGAAGTTGAACCAGTGTAGCCCGGCTTACTGCAGAGGAAGCAGGACTTGTGGAAGCTCCTTCCATTGCACTGGATTTCTTCAGCGTGGTACACGGTCTTTTCACAGGCACCACATTTGGCTCCACCCCCCCAGTTTGGCATCCCTGTCTCTGAGAGGTAACCTAGAAAATCAAATTGAAAAGTGAATTATTTTAAACAGAACAGCTTGATTTTTTTAAAAAAAGTTATTATATTTTCCCCCCCTCTCCAGTCAATTGCTCTTGCATACTTGCAATGTACTACCCATGGGTGAAGGAGCTACCCTGGTGTTTTAGGGGCATGGACAGTCCAAATCCTCTGTCCTGTGTGACCTTCTCTTGTAAATAAGGCTATTCCTTAGCTTAGTATATTGTGATGGTAAATACGTGAAATGACTGTGAGGTGTATCAGTGAAAAAGTGCTAATACCACTGAAATTTCTTCTGGAGAAGTGGATCTAGGATTTATTTTCCATCAAATAGTCATTTACTTTTAGTCCTGCCCTCCTCTGTACCCCAGTGTAGCCTTTTCCCCTCAGTTTTTGCTTAGTGTGTGTTGATCTGGTTTTTGAGGCAAATTTTATTGGAGGCTAGCAAATACTTTGGAGCTTTACTGGAGTGAAACAAAAGTCTGGACAGTATTTGGCATTAAATTTTCTACAGAACAGCTTCCTACCTTGACTCTCTGTCAACAGGTAGACTAGTTATACCTCTCCAAAGCAAGTGCTGCTTCATCCAGTACCCCATAAGCTGCCTTGGTCACACATTCTTTGCCAGTATGATATTTTTTTATACAATTCATACCTGGATAATTCCACCTTGAAGTTTAACAAGGGCTCTTTAAGAGAACACATCAATAGAAACAAGTTGTTTGTTGCTTTTCTGAATTCCTCATAAGAATTCAGAAGGTCCCCAGCTGCAAGGTCCCTGTGCTGCACAGCCATCGCAAGGTAATAATACATAGGTTCCTAAGGTAGGTTTCTTTCTTTCTTTTTCTATTGTTTTTGAAATGTAAACATAAGGGAAAAGAAGAGCAGTGGTTGCTGTTGGTTGCTCTTGCAGTGACTGTTGAAGTGACTTGGCCAAGGTCACAGGAGGGCATTGTGAGGGGCAGGAGCCCAGCTCAGGTGGCCTGATGGCTCAGTGCCCTTCCTGATGATTGTGCTATCACACATCAGAAACAAGCCCAGCCCTCAGGCTGCCCTTCTGTTTTCTTGTTTGAGTCATCGTTTCTGGAAAGACTGGGATGTCATCTTGTCACCTGCACATCATATTATCAAGCTCCTGGCACAGGCCTTCCTTCTCCTTCTTGGAAAACCAGTCACCTTCTTATTATAGTTATTTTGAAGCCTGCTTGTGCTATTTGTGTTTGATTAAATTCCCCATAAGATACTTTCAACTAAGAAAAGGGTTTTGAACACTGAATCAGGCCTGCCACCTGAGAATTTTCTTCTAAGATCAAGTGAGAGATAGAGGGGAGTTTAGAGTGTTGTAAGTCACAGTGGTGATGTAACATAAGCCAGTATTTTCAATTACTTGCATATTAGACTAATATTTTACTATATATTCACACTGGACACTAATGTCCCCTGCTTATCATCATCGTAGTGACTTCTGTTCTGTAATCTTCTGAATTTCAGAATGAAATGAACAATGTCTACGTGCCAGCTCTGCAGCCTGAAGGGAATTCTTTCTGACAACTAACACCAAAAATCCTACAATGGTATAAGAATCTGTCCAGCAAAAGGAAGGTGACATGAGAGTGTGTGCACACACTGAAGCCATAGCACTGGAGACATGGCAATGTGAGCAGGTTTTACAGTCAGTGTTTGATAACAGTGCAGGTACCAGCACATCCAAACCTCTCTGCCTTAGCACAGCAATGATTAGTATCTCTTTAACCCTGTGTAATTAAATAGTCACTATTGTAACTGGTACCTGTGGTAGACAGCACACCTGTCATCCTCATGCAGGGTTCAATCTCCCCTCCTCTTTGTGAGGCTGATTTGTGCTCAGCTGAACACCCTCCCCAGCTCAGTCAACCCAGTCCTTTGCTGTAACACAGCAGCACCATCGTTAATCTCTTCCAGACCCTCTCAGCTCTCTTGGGAGGTTGCTCATGGACTGCTGTGGCAGTTCCAAAACAGTAATCATGCAAAAAGGAAAAGAAAACTCATCTTTCCTCTAATTCTGTTTATCTGGTGTAATGAGTAAGAAGCATAAACCTAATGTAGATGAAATAAGAAACAAAACTAATTGCATGCAAGAAACATATAGTGGATTTGATCCCTCTCACTCAGTGAAGCCTTTACTGAACAGCACTGCTAAATTCTTTTTTCATTTATTTTAAAAGTGAGATAAAGGCACAGAGAGAAATCTTTCATGTAAATAGAATCTTATTCCACCATTCTATATTTTCTTCTATTTTTAAAGTACTTTCATGTTGGTGCCATTTTCTTTTATGAAAATAGTTCAAGTGATGCTTCAAGCATTTTAAAAGAAGGAAGAGAGACTGGGCATAACAATCAGTTTTGTGACACTTTCTTGAAAATTAAAATGAGATTTTTGTGTTCCCTTTCAAATCAGGTTTCCAGTGGAATCCCTTCCCAGCTGAGGCAGCACTGGTAGCTGCCAGGGAGGTTTGTACCTCTGGTCTCTGTAAAGCTATTTGTGCTGTGTTAGTTCCCCTCAAAGGCACACCAAGAATCTCTGTCTTTGGCAATGGGATAGTTGTTGGAAAGTAGCTCCAATTACATCATTAGCTGAAGGGGGGAAAATAATCTCTTAAAAAGTCTGATAATGTGTGATAGTGAACTTTGTGCTGTCAGGGGCCATGGTTAGAGCTCTCAGAAGAACCATTGTCCCTGAGGCTAATTATAGTAACATGACTGGGCATGCATATACATTTTCCATGTTTTCTTGGTATCACCTGATGGGAAGCTGTAGGAGGAAGAAGAAAGTCACAGTAAAACTACAAGGATGCCAGGGGAAGAACAGCCATGTGTGCCACGATGTCTGCGCTGGCTGGAGTAACAGCTGGGTGAGGTACCAGGGCAGGTCCTGTCCTTGCTTTGATCATCTCTCTGGACACTGAACTGCAGTGCCATCCCTGTGGATGGTGCCTGTGCAAATAAAGTCCACAAGGTACATGGCATTCAGTGTTTTCTACTTGTCTAAATTATAAATGGTGGATAAATCTCCATCTTCACAATGTGCAAATAGAACTCAGTCTCCCACTTGTTATCAGAAAAAAATATACCCAAAATCTTCACATAATTTCATTAGATGTCAGTATCTAAATCCCCTTGAAATTCCCTGAATTTAGTTGTCTTAATCTGATTAACTTGCAGTGTCTGCTCACCACATGGTGCTTATATTCTGGTGATCTAGTGGGAAGTAGAGTGGACTCATCCTAAATGTAATAAATGTGTTTATTTATTATTAAATAAACTTTTGAGTGTTAGTACTGCAACACATAGGCACTCACGGTACTGTTAAACTGGAAGAGTGTTCTTGAACTTCCTCTGTTACTATTCAACAGCTTGTATTGTTCCTCAAAATGCAGTTACTATATGGAGTAGAATTTATACACAAGATATGCAGCCAGGGATACATGCCTCCTGTTATTTAGAGCTTATATCACAGCTATATGGGCCAGACTTGGAGCAAGGGAGCCTTTGAAGTGTTTGTGTGCTCTGCACAGGCATGAAAACATTGTGAGCCGTCTTCTTTTGGGCTGTTAGTCATACTGTACAAATCTAGGTGTCACATCACTGTCACAGAGTGTCTTACTCTAATCAAAGTGCTATTGATAAGAATATAACCCAAAAATATATTTAGATCCGCTGATCTCAGTGGATGGTGGACACAGTACTGGCCTGATGCAGTTGTGCAGAGGAGTAAAATGCAGTGCAAGTGCCAGACAGTGCTGCAGGTGAAAAAAGTCTTGAAAGTAATTTTGGTGCTTCCATTCTAAACACAAGGTTTTCCCTTTTACATGCTCATGTATTTGACAGTCTGGAGCTCAGGTCTTATCTGAATGGGCTGCAGAAGTTGTGTACTATGTGGCTGGGAGGATTATCTCTGGTGCCACATATGCTACAGGATGGCTTTGAAGGGGATAAACAGAATGGGAAATATTGGTCTTTGTGAGCACTGGTAGTAGAATTGCTGAATGGGGACTGGTGGGTAGGATATACCTTCCATCTCTCTCCATTTTAGTCTCAGCTACATGCTTGGTCTAGACTCAAAGAATACCAATGCCTTACCTAATGAATAAGCAGTAATGGTATCAAATCCAAATATCCCTGTCTACACTGAAATACAAGTATTAAGGCTGCATTTGAAATTCTTTTCCCCACTGAAGTCTGTGGGAGATGCCAATGCAGCCAGGACTTCATTCTGGTATCTAATCACAGCTTTGCTGTGACCTGTCCTGTGACTACCAGTGACTCATTTGACGTCCTCAGTGTTACGCCCCCACAAGCACGGGGGGGGGGGGGGGGGGGGGTAACGATATATCTCTATACAGTAGCAATAAAATGCTGCTCTAGTTTCTCTCTTTCACTGCAACTAACACTCATGGGGAGGTTTTATCTCTCTCTGTTGGTCTGCAGTGCAAGGCACAATTCCTGCCACTGCATCTCGAACAGCCTGAAGATGTTTCTGTCGAAATCCAATCCCTTGCAGAATGAGTTCTCTCTCAGCAGGACAGATTCACAACAGAGGAAACATTTGTGTTTGAAAGTTGAGCTCTTTTAATGAAGATGTGATATTGTTTATACTCTTATTTCTTCTGATTCATTCAGTGGACTTTGGATACAGGTAAATTTTAAGTTTATTAGTTAGGTGTCATACCTTGAGCTTCCACCATGATCTCATAACGATTAGCATTTTCCCTCCATTTCTGCAGTAAAGCAACACATAGAAATCAAGGGGTGGGAATTCCGACACTGACACAAGAAAGTAAAAATTGATTTTGCATTGACACTGGTCACCCTAAGTTACACACTCCTTTTGAAACAAAAGATTTTAACTGGCATGATATGAGGCATGTGTTGTGTGTAGCTAATAGTTTCCCATTGCTTTCATCTCTGTTCTTCCAAATTATCTATTATTTTCTAGCATAGGGATGCCATATTTCTTTTGAAACTTCCTTGATGTACACTTTTGCAGAAATTTAAGTTTGCATCTCCAAAAAATATGGTAT